AGATGTGACACAAGGTCGGTTTAATGTGGGGACCCGAGCGCGTACACTCGGGCAGGGACAAAATTTCCCCACATCCCCTGCAAACGTCGGTTGCGCTGGTCTCGGTGTGAGCACCCATCCCTCCTTCTTGTGCAATGGGAGGGCACGGCCGCGGGCAGCTGTTCCCCAGGGTTGAGCACCTCTTCAGTTTAATTTTCCTCAGTTGCCTCTCCGTCCTCAGACAGAGAAGCCCCTGAGCGCACTCTGTCCAAGGACAGAGACGCAACTGAGAGATGATAAAAAATACGTACAACGCGAAAGGTTCACTATTTGTATTATATATTATCTACTTCTAGGTGATATCTCTCTTCAGATTTAACTCATTTGCATATTGTTTTTAAAAAATCATATCTCATTAATTAACTGCCTTTCATGAGTGTATTGTTATTGAAGGATCGTTTTGATTTTCATGTCAAAAATAATTCTGATTATAAATATTGTCTTATAGAGTGCAGAAAAGTGTTTGAAATTTGCATTTTACTTGGCCTTCAAGTTGGCATCTATCTGTAAAACTTTCCTTAACTATAACAAGTCAAATTATGAATGAAATAGTAGTGAAGATATCTTACTTTGCGAACCGATAGCAAGCTGGCGAATTTTTGCAATTATATATATATATATATATATATATATATATATATATATATATATATATTTGTGTGTGTGTGTGTGTATGTATATATATATATATATATATATATATATATATATATATATATATATGTATGTATATATATATATGTATATCAGTGGTGACTCTAGGTTATCAATATTTGTCGAGCTCATTACAATTTTTAAAAAAATATACTGTTGGTATAATTTACATACTAAAATGATTTCTTTCTACTTTTACGAAAACAAGTTTTAAAACTTTCTGCGAATGTAATTAAAATTAGCACATTTTTGTATTTTTAATATTAATTATAATAATTCTATAAAAAAAATATTTCTTTAAAAATAATTCCCAGACGTTAAAGACAAAACCTGATATGGTTTTTTTTTAATAACGTGTGTATATATCTCACGTGTGTTTATGTATATATGTGTATGCGGTAGGTGTTTATATATCTCTGTGAATTTTTAGTTTAATTTATTGTACAAGATTATGATTAGTACTGATATCATACATCCTAAACACTACCCCAGTCACACGTCTCACCCCAACCTTGTAGCCGACGAGCTAAGGCTGCCACTTTCTTTGATTTTCGCCGAATTTAGAGTCGGGCTAAATTAAATTTGCCCTTTCTCAAAAGTGCATTCTGCTTAAAAAACTTATACCGTACGGAATAAATTACTTAAAATAGATATTTGGAAAAAATAAGTTGAAATAAAAATGTTTAATTGAAAAACAGAGAATTCAGAAAACTTGACAACGGACTTCAAGCTTATAATGATTATTTAATGCTTTAATGTTGGGGTTAGACTGAAATAGAATTCATTCTAAGTAATAAATATTAAATTATACTATAAAATTTAAAATTAAAATTTACCAATTTTAAATTTTAAATTTAATCTATATTAAGTTTAAAATTATAAAGTTATTTAAAGAAGAAACCGAGGAAAAAAAAAAGAAGAAAATACATATATTTTTCATTTATTTTGTTTTTATTGAAATTAAGTTGGAATAAACGTTAAGATCCAATGCTGTTCTGAACGTCATGACAACACAGATACATTTGAAGCATAGACAGAGGCAGGGGAGGATGAAATCTTGCAAAAGACAATACATACACAATCAGATTATAATACATAAACACGCAGACGTATTTAGATATATAAACACGCAAAAAAGCGACAATAGAGGAAATAGCTGCACGACCCTTAAAAAAAAACGACAACATACATATACAATGGAAGGTACACACAAGTGAACATACATACAGAAACCGTGACAAAGATACGTACATACACACACATAGATTGACAAAAGACACGCCGATACACCCACCAAGAAATATTTAGGTTTGAGAGTTTTATTAAACGAATTCTAAACCTCTTATTAAAATATACATTATATGGGCAAAGATAGATAAAAATGGTAAAATAGATAAAATTCAATATGGGCTGAACAGAATACCAAACATGAGGGGAAAAGGACCCTAAAACATATAGACATGGACAGAAAAATAGATATATACACATAAAAATAACACCAAAAAGAAAACTGCAAACACACACAAACACAAACACAAACACACACACACACACACACACACACACACACACACACACACATAATTACATCTTATTATATATTTTTAAAAAATGATATAATAGGTATGTTAGGCTAAATAATTTAGACCTATTATGTATATTTCTTTTAGTTTAATACTTTCAAGTCTACAAATTAATTTTTTCGGGGGTTGCAGAAAATTGGTTAAGTAAAATTCTAAAATTTACTTTCAAATAATTTTTATTTATCTAAGCAATTTATATGAGAGAATTGCGACCAAAATTTTTTTAAAAAGTCAACTACGACTATAACTACAAAGTTCTTAAATGTTTGTAGCGGCAAAATGTTATATAAAAAAATACTAAATTAAAATATTACAATTAAAAAAACTTAAAAATATTTTTTTTAAATCTCATAAGTTACCTCCCTTGCATAAACCTGAACAAATTTATACTTTGAATTTACGATCTAAACAAATAACACATCCATAGATCTGCAGCCCCTGAAGATGGTCTCAGATGAAACTGAAAGTACTTATGAAAATAAAAATTATTTGGAAGAAAATTTTGGAATTTTTCTCTCTCAATTTTCTGCAGCAAATTAATTTGTGGTTTAAAACGAAAATAGACAAATTATGTCTAAATTATTCAACCAAACATGTTCGAATGAAAATATGCTGCCTAAATATATAAGTTTACCTTCCCCAGTCCTATGGGTAAGAGTAACTTGGATGAGTTCCACCACGGAATATGTGAACGATCGGCGCAATATCGAATCTAATTCGTTACCTCTTCGTCATCGAGGCCTGATGGTGCAGTTGGGATATCGTTTGCCTCATGTCATAACTGACAGGGTTTCAGTTCTTGGTAGTTGATGCTCACTGCTGATGAGTCCCAGTGCTTTCTGCGTTCTGTTGAGGTTTCTTCTAGACACTGACATAATACGATTTTACCTGTTCTCTTTGTAGCTGAATAACTCAAAAGATTTTTCAGTGATTCTTACGACAAATGGTGTGAAGATGGCTAAATGTATTATGTAAAAACCCGGAAAAAAAAAGAAACTCAATTAGTTTAGTGGGTTTTTAGATATTAAACATTTTGTGTGAAGGATAATTATGGTGTTACACGATCTGGACACTTTTGCTGTTACGCCTGGTATATATATATATATATATATATATATATATATATATATATATATGTGTGTGTGTGTGTGTGTGTGTGTGTGTGTGTGTGTGTGTGTGCGTGTGTGTCTGTAACGTTTATATATTGGATCGGATTTCCTACATTTTTCAACCGATTTCAACAAAACTTCACAGGATTACATAAAATTACCTTGTGGTGGTTCTAACAGCGCCAAAAATGGGAAAAATATAATTGTTTTTGCACAAAATTAATTTGAAAACACGATTAAGAGACATCGTGAAAATGGAAGGGGAACAACTCACATCGGGTTGTTTGTGTGTGTGGGTTCCTTTAAATATGAGAGCTGATTTCCTACATTTTTCAGCCGATAAAACAAAACTTCACTTTTTTTTTTTGGCAGGTAGTGTTTCTTATTCTCTTGCACACTTTTCTTTATTTTTAACATTCAGAATGCTTTAAAAATTCCATTTACAAGACAATTATTTATAATAAAATTCTATTCCATTGATAGGCTCATAACAATTGAAAACAATGTTTTTGTTTGAGTTTGGGTTTGACCAATTCGTAAAAAAAAATAAAAACTAATTAAGACATGCGTGTCCGTCAACCTTAAACAATAATCTAACGATCTCTACTGATTGTACGAATACAAACATCGGAATAAATTCTTTATCTTTAGGGAAAGATAATGAAATCTAAACATACACAAGTCCTAACTAAAAATAATAACCAGAAACTACTTTAAATACACATGGTGTCCAATTTTTTTACTGTATTCAATGAATAAAAAACATAAATTGTAAAAGATTATTAATACAGAAAGGCTACTAAATGAATAAGATTTGTTAGATCATAATTAATAAACCCAAATAAAGTTAATATTTTTTGTATTAGAAACAACGAGTGGAAAATATATTCAAATCAGAATTCTAATTATGAATCACCACAAGCAAAATATGCAATTTTTAATACTGTATTCAATAAAAATAAATTGTAAAACTAAAAGATTACAGAAAAGCTACCTACATCTTTCAACCGATTTCAACAAAACTTCACTTTTTTTTTGGCATGTAGTGTTTCTTATTGTCATCCACACTTTTTTTTTCTTTATTTTTACATTCAGAATGCTTTAAAAATTCCATTTACAAGACAATTGTTTATAATAAAATTCTATTCAATCGGTAGAGACTCATAACGATTGAAAACAATGTTTTTGTTTGAGTTTGAGTTTGACCAATTCGTAAAAAAAAAAAAACTAATTAAGACATGCGTGTCCGTCAACCTTAAACAATAATCTTTGTCAATTTTATTTTTCAGTCTTTATGATGGTGGATACTTGATCTATCTCTTACTGTTACATCCCCGGGCAACGCCGGGCTCTACTGCTAGTATATATATATATTTTTTTTTAATCAGTAGTAATAAGTGTACAGTTTAGCCACTCCTAAGCAAATGTGGTAATTGTGTTATCTCTGATTGATACCAAAGTTTGGGGATAGTGACCATGTATTATGCTAAGTTATCGGAAGTTCATTTTCAAAGCAAAAAGCTCCTCTCCACCCCGAACACACAGCTTTTCCCTATTTTCTTCCCCGTTTTGGCCTTGTGCCATACTCAGTAGAACTTTGTAAATATTTTTATAGATGCGTTCCTATACACTCAGACTGTTCGCTACTCTCATGAAAACAGTCTGGAACAAGGTTAGATTGTGCCCTTAAACGAGGTTGACTGTTAGGATCCCTTACCCCATATAACGCAGATTGGGTGTGTCTGCCACGCAAATTTAGATCTGGAATTTACTTGGATTTTAATACTGACTTTTTTCAGTTTCTCTCAAACAGAAAAAAATAAATGTTAGTGCTGAACTGCTATGTAATAGCAATCCTCCTCTTTGGAGGTGAATGCTGGACATTTCCTTCACGGATGACGATGAGGTTGAGAGTGAAATCCAGGGGCATGTTGGGCGTGGCCGGACATTTGGCCGAATAGACATTTCGCCGAACGGACATTTCACTGAAAAAATACAATTAAAAATAGTAACAAGCAATACTTGAAGTATTTTAATTAACAGTATTATAAGCTAGAATAGGACTAATAATTACCACTGAATTTTAAATAATTAAATTACTAAATCTAAATTTAAAGTTAAAAGTTTTCTTATTTCAATATTTGTTTATTGAAATTAGTACTTTAAAAAAATATTTGAGTGTATTTGGATAAAAAGTGACACCTAATTATTCAAATTCGTATTTAACAATAAGGTAAAAGCTATTTCATCCCTTTAAGATAATGATCATTAAAAGTAGGTACCTCCATGAGATCGCTAAAAATGAGCATAGCATGATGAAAAAGACTCCAAACTTGACAAAAGCAAAATTTTATCGTCTAAATGCTTATGTTATTATTAAGAGGAATGATCAAAGTTTATTTTAATTATTTTTTAAAAACTTTTCCTTCTTTTTAGAACATTCTAAATTTTGATTAAAAAAAACCTTGTTTCTCTTTGTATCACCGGAACTAATAAAATAGCATATACAATTTTAGAACATTTTTTTACATGATACACATTAATTTGGAAAATATTGCAAAAATAAAAATAATTGTCGGATGTTAATGAAACTCTCAGAAACTATTCACAGATGATCGAAATTATTATAAGCAGAAATATTTTTTGTTTTTAAATTTATTACCACCCCCATAACTAATTTTATGAAAATGTTAGAAATTCGATCGCATCAGGTTTAGTGATTACAGTAGTTAAAAGCAAAAGGCTTTGAGGAATGCAAATCATTTTTTTGTTGTTGTTTTTAATTGGACCCCCCCACCTGAAGATCAGCTCTGAATTGTAACATATAAAACTCAATAAAACAAATACATTATTTAATTTCAAATGCTTTTATTTGCTTTTAGTTGTTTTTATGAATATGGACAATATTTTCTGAAAGCAAAAATTTTTTTCGATGGAAAATGAATTTTTAATACAATTATTTGTTATTTCTTAATTATAATATATTTTTACATTTAAGTTGTTAAAATATTATAAAATTAGTTAAAAGCCGCATCAGGTTTTCTAAGTGTCCTTATGAGATAGACCTTTTTTTAGCGCGTTGTAAATTGTATCATTTTGACTAATTATAAGATCCGCAGTAATTAAGAAATGTAATTTTGTGTTTATAATCGGGCCGTAATTATAAAGTACGGAAGACCAACCAGAATACAATTAAGTTGCTTTATTTGAGTTTAGCATTTTTTCTCTATATATATATATATATATATATATATATATATATATATATATATATATGTATGTTTGGTTAAATAATTTAGGCGTATTATGTCTCTTTTAGTTTAATCTTTTCAACTACACAAATTAATTTCTAGGCGGCTGTAGAAAATTGATTAAAAAAAATTTTTAAATTTAATTTCAAATAATTTTTATTTTTCCAAGCACTTTATATGAGAGAATTACGACCAAAAATAAATGAATTCAATTTCGAGTATATCAACAAAGTTCTTAAATGTTTGTAGCAACAAAGTGTTATATAAAAAATAATATAAAAAATAAAATAGAATTAAAAAATCTTTAAAAAAAAACTTAATCTTGCGCAAACTTGAACAAATTTATATTTTGAATTTACGGTGTAAACGCATGACACATCCATAGATATTCAACCCCTGAAGATGGGGTCAGATTTCATTGAAAGTATGAAAATAAAAAAACATTTTCTATTGGATTTGAAGGCTCTAAAAACACAACACTAAAATACTTTGGAACGTTGGCGCAGTGGATTTAGGTATTTCGTAATTATTATAGTCGTGAGTTAAATCCCCAGATTAGGCAGAGAAACGATATATAGTCTGGTTTAGTATAAAGGAACCAAAACTAAAACACAAGGACCAAATTCTCATAATAATCAATACTATTCGCAAAGATAATAGATACTGGAAGATGGCCAGAGGATACTTGGTCGAAACATTGTATCCATCATAACTCAATATCTGTCTATATTTCTGAGATGAGCTCAGTGGATAAAAGCGTTAGTTGGATGAAGTGACTTGACCCAAAGACTTGTGAGTTCAATACCTGGCTACGGCAGTGTTGACCAAAAAAAAAAAAAAAAAAAAAAAAAAAAGAAAAAGAGTTGAGTTAAAGGGAGATAACTGAGACATCCTGAAGAGTCATGGTACGTGGAACTAGAACAGTCCAACGTGGTGGACAAAATAAAGGATTAAGTCCGAAATTCCAATCACCTGAAGAAGCGTACAACGGTTGAAACGTCGTAAATATGACAATAAAGATGAGGACAACAGTCCGAACAATGTAAATAATGTAAACCATCATAACTCCTATAACAATCAAATAAGAGAAGATAATTCAATTACGTCAAACTGTAGTCTTTGTTATGATATATATATATATATATATATATATATATATATATATATATATATATATATATATATATATATAGATAATATTAGTGGTAAATATACATACATATGCAAAATATATATAAAAAATACCTATACATGTATATTTTCAGAAAAGAATTTTTCCAAGAGGAAGAATCCAGGTAGAACTCAATGTCTAGGACAGAGTAAGATATAATAAAAGGCTTAAACACTAATATACCATGGAATATTAGTGTTTAAGCTTTTTATTATATATATATATATATATATATATATATATATATATATATATATATATATATATATATCGGACCATTTTCCCGGTTTCCGGTGCAAATTTAAATATGAATTGTTTATAGTTTGAGCACATTCCGCATCCATAAGTCATTGTCAAGGATGTTTTAGTTTTGCGCTCTATCAGTTTCATCCTTTTTGAAATATCGCGTCTTCACACGTCAAACTGTTTTTTTGTTTAAATATCGTGTTTTCACGTTTCAGTTCGAAAAATAGTTGCCCAATAATAATAAAACTTTGAAGTGTTCATTGCAAAACTATTTTAAAATGTCTTTATGTTTTTTTTTCTTTTTAGGTTAAAACGAGCACCAGACAAGGTCTATACATTCGTAATGCTAATAAACTGAACTCCGGCCGATACACATGCATCGTTGAAAATCCACTGGAGACTGTAACAGGAAGCGCCCAACTGACTATTATATGTAAATATACGTTATTTTTCCACTCTCTCTCCCTAGCTTCACCCTTCTCTATCTCTCTCCCTATATTCATTTTTCTCTCCCCCCCTCTCTCTCTCTTTCTTTCTTTCTTTCTTTCTTTGATGCTACAACATACCCGGAAAACAGATTGCAAGCCGAGTTCGAAATCTAGTCAAATTTTTGGAAAGTCCATCTTCTCCCAGCGATGGACTAAACTGAAAAGCAAATTGTATTCTCTTGCCTTCGTTGGCAACCAATCTAAGAGAACGAAAACTTTTTAATACAAATCCTTTGTAATGTTATCGTCTTAATGTTATCGTCGAGTGGGTGTATGGTTTGATAGATTTTCTTATTATTTCTCTTTTCTCTCACTTTTTCAGATGACAGAAAAATATATATCTTTCTGTCATCTGTTTGCCCCACATGCACACATCGTGAGCGGAGCGGTGTGGACTACTTGTTTACATTTCGAGGGCAGCCACGGACATCCGTATGATTCATAGACTTATTGATTTGTCTTTTATGGCTTATCAACCATTTACAGGTTATTTAAAGCCATAAAAATATTTTTAGATTCTAAGAAATGTTTGGTGATAGTATTTATTTACTAATTCAAATCCTACTAATTAACCCACAGCTGGAAGAGAAGGGGTGGATTCCTTCCTTTCCAAAGTGTATTTTGCGCGTATGTAGATATAAGAAAACCGATTTCCAATTCCTGACAGTTATCCATTACATTATCTCTCACCTTCAAGTTTACTGACCAGTCTCGAAGTTGCTTAACTTTGGTGATCGTACGAGAACCGGTGTTTCAATGTGATATGTCTGTAACCCGACTTCCTGTGTGAGACACGAATCTGCACCTAGTGGCAAGAAGAGAAACTTTGATGTCAGCCCACTGATGCACCTGGCTTCTCTGATGCTCTAATGAGTGCAAAGTCTATTTTGGTATTTACGTAATTCCCCATGTATAATACAACTTTATCCATAATATGCACACCTAAAATTGTGCTGAAAGTGTGGGAAAATGCTTCTACTCACGCATAATACGCACCCCTTGTTTGGCAATCAAACCCTATAAATTGTACCTCTCCAGTTTTATTACAGCCAGAGTTTCCTGCTCTTATTTTTTAAAAAAATGGTTTAAACATAGAATAATATTATTCTAATTCAGTTTTATGATAATTCTTATTTTATTTTACATTTGTAATATTGTTAAGTACATATGATTGTATTTGACATCCTTATGTGGTCGCAATCGCCGAATGTTAGTGTCAAATTGTCGTATGTTTGTGGTGAATAGTCATTTCGCAGCTGAAATCGACCTATGAATCGATAATTTTTAAACGATTTTTTGTCGCTGTACATAATACGCACCCCTAATTTTGCTTATTATTTTTAAAAAAATGCGTATTATACATGGGGGATTACGGTATTTGGGGTGAACTCAGTACATATTGGGTTCATCACAGAACAACTTGTCTTAGAATAAAGTTTCTTTATTGACATTAAATTCGATTCTGACCATTTGGGTTTGTTTTTTTGGTGTGGTTCTCGTACTGTACATGTCTTTCCGGGAAGTGCCCTGTATAAGATCTGCGCTTAGACATTGACATTATTCTGGAGAGGTTAAATTCTGTGACATTATAAGATGAGGTGTGTTGTCCTGGACTAAGTCAGCTAAATAGAATCGATCAGAATTTGAACTGGAATCGCCGATTTTTAAATGCCCACCATATATCGGGTCCGTATTATTTCCCCGTTGTTCTGCCTCCAGTCCCTTGTGGGCGTGTTTGTGGATCGTTCCACGAGAAATGCCGAGAGCTCGTCAGATATCAGGACGTATATTCAAATCACGCAACTTGTCATATGTACTGCGTTCATTTACCCTCATGGGTTTTCATTCAATCACGTCATGATTTTTCTCTCTTATCCTTTCACACATAGTAACACCTTGCGTCTTATTATCTTTATTGGCTTTCTTTGCGCGGGAAAATGATAAAATCCCTCGTGCTCTCTACGTATTAGTTTAGCCTTTTATGCCTGCAACACTGGACCGAGACGCGTAAAGACGATCATTGCTAAGCTCCTTCTGTGTTATGTATCTAGGGGGGATGTCGATGATTCTTGCCTTTCATCATACTTATTATAAAACCCAGGTTGTGTGTGTGTGTGTGTGTGTGTGTGTCTGTAACGTTTATATATTAGATCGGATTTCCTACATTTTTCAACCGATTTCAACAAAACTTCACAGGACTACGTAAAATTACCTTGCAGTGGTTCTGACAGCGCCAAAAATGGAAAAACACAATTGTTTTTGCACGAAATCAATTTGAAAACACGATTAAGAGGCATCGCTGTTTCGAGAATGAAAGGGGGACAACTCATATCGAGTTATACTTATTATAAAACCCAGGTTGGTTGTGTGTGTGTGTGTGTGTGTGTGTTCCTTTATATATGGGATTGAATATCCTACATTTTTTAACCAATTTCAACAAAACTTCACTTTTTTTGGCAGGTAGTGTTTCTTATTGTCTTGCACACTTTTTTCTTTACTTTTACATTCAGAATGCTTTAAAAATTCCATTTACAAGACAATTGTTTATAATAAAATTGAAAAATTCTATTCAATCGGTAGACTCATAACGATGGAGAACAATGTTTTTGAGTTTCGGTTTGACCAATTCGTAAAAAAAAAAAAAAACTAATTAAGACATGCGTGTCCGTCAACCTTAAACAATAATCTTTGTCAATTTTATTTTTCAGTCTTTGTGATGGTGGATACTTGATCTATCTCTTACTGTTACATCCCCGGGCAACGCCGGGCTCTACTGCTAGTCACAAATAACTAGAATAATAGTAAAAAAAAAAAAAGATCAATTCAAATTATTACTGCTGGATTTTGTTTTCTTTGAAGTTTAAGACGTATGGCTAGAACCATATTGCCCCCTAAAGTTATGGGCTTAAAACGTTAGGGAAAGTGTTTTGCCAACTTTATTCACGACATTCGCAATGCCGTGACTCGTACTTTTTGTAACCTAGTGTAAAAGTGTCGAGCATTTTAGAGAAAAAAAATGGCGGGCATAGTAGGGGAAGTTTTGTATTTGCCATAATTTAGCAGATAGGTACCGGAAGGTGTGATATCGAGGATCCTTAAATTTTTCATCTTAACTTCAGCTGCTTTTCATCGCAAAAGCGACGGTCATTATAGCTAGACGTAACCGTAAGTTCTATGCTAACAGTTTCTTCCCTCGCACTTTTCGCTTTTGGATCTCTCTTCCAGCTTTTTGCTTTCCAGTCATATCCTCTCTCACTTAGAAAACCCTTGCGTCTTAGTAACTTTATTGCCTTTCTTGGGGGTGAAATGAAAAAAAATGATGCTATCCACAGCGAATTTTTCAGCGTGTTCTCTTCGCATTAGTTGGGGCTTTTATATCCGTAACATTGGACCGGGACACGTAAAGACGGCCAGTGCTAAGTTTACGTCCTTCCGTGTTATGTAATATTAAAATGTTTTTGTTGTTCAAAAAAAGTTGAAATGCTTTATCTGAAAATAGCGAGCACATTGCATAGAACCACCATTTTATTGTTGAAATTGCTAGGTGTAACCGTAAGTTCTATGCTAATAGTTTCTTCTCTCGCACTTCTCGCTTGTGGAACTCTCTTTCGGCTTCTTGCTTTCCAGTTAACTTTGATCTTTAAAAATTTAAATGCAATGTATTTTCTGCCTTCTTAATTCCTGTTCTCTTATTTTTCTTTCTCCTTAATAATATTTTCCTTTTTTCTCATATTCTCTCAAACTCAATAAACCTTTCAGTCTTAATGGCTTTATTGCCTTGCTTGAGGTGAAATGATCAAAAAAAAAGATTCTATCCACGATGATTTTTCCCTCGTGCACTCTTCATATGAGTTTGGCCTTTTACGTCCGCAACACTGGACCGGGATATGTAAAGACGCCCAGTGCTAAGTCTATGTTCTTCCTTGTTATGTAATATTAAAAGCTTTTTGTTGTGCCAGAAAAAGGTGAAATTCTTTATCTGCAAATAGCAAGTAGCTTGCACAATAGTAGCACAAAAGCACCATTTTCTTCTACTTTCTTTCGGCAGATTAACATTAAACAGGAAGTGGGTTTAATCACTGCATACTATCGAAGAATCCGCATGACAGGAGAGGTCAGACAGAATTCAGATAAGAAAAGGGCGTTGGCCGTAATAACTTTAAATTCACATTTTAATATCTTTTGTCAATCGTTAATTCTATTTTTACACACGTTCTCTTAAGACATTTTAGGAAAAAAGGGCGGAGGCACAAATAATATTTGTAAGAATTTTAAGAAAATAATTCAAAGCATATTAAAACGATGATATACTTACACTATTTACATTATTCGGACTATTGTCCTCATCTTTGTCGCCATGTTTATCACAACGTTTCGGCTGTTGTACTCTCCGGCCTTCTTCAATTGGTTGGAATGTCGAACTGAACCCTTTATCTCGCTCACTGGAGTAGACTGTTATCATTGAATGTTTTTTTTACCAGAGTTCGTATTGCAATTTTTGTTGTGATTATCGCTTTTCTCTGACACTCCTTATTACTGGTTGCCATATTGTATTCATTTCTATGCTTGGTTGGCTCAGGAGATTTTGTGTGGCCTAGCATATGTTCTGATTCCTTAAGTTTACGAATTTTCCATTGATGTTCTTTGTCTATGACCTCAACTTGATCCAACAGAGGGCAGTGATCTCCCTTTTCTATCCATATGTGGTAAGCCATGCCTGATTTTTCCACTTCCCCTCGTGTTACAGTTTTCTGGTGTTCTTGTTCGTAAACTTAAATAATAGTGTACATAATACCTCATCTCAGAAATACAGACAGATAATGAATGATATATTTACTGCGTATTTTTATATATAAGATACTATTATTTACATTTACAAATTGTCCAAATCGTGTACTACCAAAATTGTCCAATTGTCAGATTAAGCTTTGAAACGTTGTATATTAGAAATGATTAAAAGTATCTTACTGGAATTCTCAGAGAGATTTATAACACTATTGGACTCTACTTTGAGAAATAAGAATGTATAATTGCTCTCTAAGCTTAACAAGAGTATAATCATGAACTCGATCTTAAATGAAACTGAGATGTTTATCATTAATTAATCATACCTAAGGATCACAAGCTCATGAAGTATTAAAATAATGTTCAAATATATATATATATATATATATATATATATATATATATATACCGGATGTAACAGCAAAATTGTCCAATTGTTAGATTAAGCGCTGAACCATTGTATCTTAGAAATGATTAAAGATATCTTACTGGAATTTGGAATTCTGCGTGTTTTTTTTTATAATACTATTGGACTCTACTTTAAGCAATAAGAATGTATAATTACTTTCCAAGCTTAACAGAAGGATCGCGATGAAATCGATAATAAACGAAAATGATATGATCATCATTAATTAATCATGGCTAAGGATCGGAAGCTCATGAAGGATTGAAATAAAGATCAAATATATCTTTATTATTCCAAGATCATTTTCCAACTTATTCAAGATGATCTTAAACCTCTCTAAGCGTCTAACCTTCCTTGCTGGAGTAAAAAGTTGCCTCTCAGGTTTCACATAAGATTTTATTTTCAACTCATTTTCACTGCTCTTTGGACTGTCATAGCTGAAACTCTTTTCTCGCGTGCCATTAAGTGTTATGGATCTTTTCTAATTGATCTCATTTAGTTGAAATGATGATCCCTCTTCCTGCTGTGACCTCCTGGTCCAGTTTTTCTCTCTACTGTTCCGTCTTTTTAAAACTTATTCACCATTCTTTTGATGGTTCTTCGATGACCTTTGAAGATGGAAAGTATAGTATGAATGTTGGTACCATTACTGAAGGTCTGAATAATCTTTTAGATCTCACGATTTCTCAGTTGGGAAGACTTTGTGGAACTGACACAAAACGATCTTACCCTGTTCTCTTTCTAGTAGCTGAATAACTCAAAGGAATTTTCAGTGATTCTTACGACAAATGGTGTGAAGATGGCTAAATGTCTTATCTGAAAACCTGTAAAAAAGAAACTCAATTAGTTTAGGGTTTTTTAGATATTAAACATTTTGTGGTTTGGATAATTATGCTGTTACACGATTTGGACAATTTTGCTGTTATATCCGTATATATATATATATATATATATATATATATATATATATATATATATATATAGTTTATGAAAATCTAGGTAATCCGTATGGGTAAACCTAAGGAGGATAAAATCCAGAGAGATCATTGTAAATTCAGATAAATAATTTAAATAAAAACAGACCACTTTAAGGTTCCATGTAATAAATTATTTCACCACAGCCCTTTTAAAGGACTGTGGATCATCAGACTTTACTTCCAAACAAAAAATGAAAAGAAAATTTACACATTTTTGACAGGCCGTATTAAACATATGTAAATTAACGAAGTGAAGAAGTGAGGGGGAGAGAGAAGACATGAGTGACTTAGCAGATATTGACACATTTAAACGGTTTACTTAACGGAAGTTATATATTGATACCGAAGGGGTAGAGAAGCAAAAACCCATAGAGAGAAAAAGAGGGAAGGAAGTTAAGAGAGAAGAAGATGTCACTAATTTTCTTTGTAAAAAAGGCTAGAAACAGACGCTGTTATTTTGTTTTACTTTGAAAGTGTTATTTTGGGGTTCCATAAAGATTATAATGTTTTATATAAATTTGAATGTCTCTAAACTGTCTACAAATAATTTAATTTGATGTTTGTTCGTGATTTAAATTTTTTTTAAATTTTGGGGATTTTCTATGAAATAGTCGATTAAAAAAATATTCATAGAAAGTACATTAAAATAATAAAATTTTATTTTAAAATATAAGTTTACTTTTAGTAATCTTTTTTTTAATCTCTTTAAAAAAATTTTTATTATTGATTATTAAGTTAACATCTCTATCCGTTTGAATTTTGTTCATGAATTTAACTCGTGACTGTTTCTAGATAAGTAATCTCTTTTACTTAAATTTTAGTTAAGTTAATATGGGGTAATATTTGAAGGTAATATTAAAGATCTTGCTCTGTCATATACTGTATACACACCCATGTAAATATCACATATACACACGTTCCTTTACATGTTCCGTCACTCATACAGGTACCCATGTACCGAAATACAGAGGTAACTTCATTTATTAACATCTACCCAAATATCAGAAATTTTTCCAATTTAAATATTTTATCATCAATAATGATTATTAAAGGGTAATATATTTCAATTTAAATTAAATTATCAATTTAAAACATTTTCCTCCATATTATAAAGAATTTTAAACTTACACTTCCAATTGGAGAATATTAAATGAGAAAATGAGATAAAAGACTAATAACAGGACTGTAAGTCCTTCTTTTATAATATTCTATGTATCCATAAATATACATTGTAATTTAAAGATTGTAGTTTAAAGACAATAAAATTTACAGTGCTAACCGAACGCTCCTCTGTGGCCCAACCGGTTAAGGCACGTCAGGCTATAATACGGTTCCTTAAAGGATACAGATTCGATTCCTGTCGGTGGACGGATATTTTCTATGAAACTTTCTCGGACATCCAGGCCGGTAAATGTTTAATACTGTTTATTATAAACAGAACATTTACTTAAATATTCTATCTATAAAAAGAATGTATAAACATAAAAATGTATATATATATATATATATATATATATATATATATATATATATATATATATGAATGATTCGCTATTCCACATAAGACATATCCTCATTCTCTTCATATTTAATTAGTCAGGACTGAGCTCTTCTCAACTTTTTCACCAAAAATATTTCAGTGTGGATCGGACTCCCGAGGGGACGCTTCTCTGATCGTTATAACCTCTTCAAGTTTCCTACATATCCTCGTAATACGCTGCCCTTGCTCCTTCCCTATATACCTTTACAAATCCCGTTTCCATCTACCTTTATGGGCACTTTGGTCTTGTATTGGGTGAATAGTAAAATCCAAGAACGTAGTAAGAAACAAAGAACGCAAGAACTCTAAACAGTCATCCATTAACAAATCAAATCTATATACTTATGCTGTTCACATATTTTCATATATTCTTTTGTCCCTCCAATGAACGGTGTCATTTTCGAAATCGTGGCGCCATTACTCTCCACAAATTGGAACCTCAATATACGCTGCATTTCATCATTTCTCTCGAAGTCTGAAGAACCGGAAGAAGAAAGAAGCGATTTAATAACCGTAGATTAGATCTGGCACAAGGCGTAAAGTATTGAGGCCCAAGTGAGAATCGATCTCATACCTCAGCTATCTATCGTCTGGTTCACAATCCTCCCCCGTCTTTTGAACAGGAGTAAATGTTTATTCCATCTAAAGCCCTCTTCAATTCTATACGTCTAAAATCTCCGTCTGATCTCTGAAATAGTATTTATTAATTATTTTTTCTCCTCAATTGGAGTAGATAGGTTCGTCATCGTCCGCTTTATATATATATATATATATATATATATATATATATATATATATATATATATAAATAAAATAAAAAGAACAGTAAGATATAAAATCCAAAACTTATAGATACAAAATTTTACAGGTCTGAAAGATTTGAAGACGTTTTAAATCAATTAATTTTAAATGAAATAAATATTATATATATGTGATATTTTTTTAATTGTTTGTTTTTCATTATATAAATAATAAGTTTTTTTAATTGTTTTTTAATTTTTGATGTTTTTGACATTGAACTCTCAATGGAACAATATCAATAGAAATTTCATACGGATTACCAAAATTTCTATATATATATATATATATATATATATATATATATATATATATATATATATATATATATATATATATATAAGCCCAGAACCCCACATCTAGGACTCGCTATGCCACATAAGACTTATCCTCATTACTCATACCTCAGCCATCTATCACACTCCTCCAGAGTCTTTTAAACTGGAGTAGAGGTTTATCCCATGATCCCTGTTTAGTGTTGTTTTTCCGCTTCCTTCTACTTTCACTCTATACTTCTACTTCTCCGCAAACATTCTATACTTTTATTTACTATTCATTTTTTATTATTTTTTCCTCAGTAGGATTAAATAAGTTGGTCTGTAGGCAAAAGTATTGTTCCTAAAAGTTACTTTCGTTTGGTTTTTATATTTTTGCATTACTTTACCTTATTTTAGTATAAAGCACCGTAATTTTATAAATTTGTTTTTTTTTAGTCTTTTTATATTTTTAAGGCATAAAATGTTTAATATGATATATTATTTCTATTTTTATACAATCATTTTTTTTTTCAGCAACACCTGGGGAAGTATCAGGAGTCTATGGTGAAGATTCAACAATTACCACAACGAGCATCAGGCTACGATGGTTGGCACCACCGGACAATGGTTCCCCGGTCACAAAATACGATATACAAGCTTTCAGCAATTTAGATCCAGAATGGAAAACCGTAGCCAGTGGTAAGTGGAATTGATTTCCAATATTTGCTCAGCCTGACTGAACGCAAACCAAAAATATAAGTAGTGATTTTCCAAGCGTAGCTTAGATGTGGCACAAGGTCGAAATTACTGGGCACCCAGTGAGGAACGAACTCACTCGGAATTGTTCTAGCGAGACAAGCTTGCTAACCATTACACCACCTCGCGGTGCTCAAAATGATTTGTCTAAGAGTAGTTTAGATGTGGCACAAGGCCGAGAGTGTGAAGCACCCAGTGAGGGTCGAACTCACTACTCAGTCGTAATGGCTCAATCTTTCAGACTTGCAAATCACATATGTCATTTGCAGGTCTGAAAGATTTAAAGTTATTTTTTAAAGCTTTCATGAAATAAAAATTATTAGTTATGGGTTTTTAATAGTTTGATATTCATTAATATATATATATATATATATATATATATATATATAATTTTAATTTTTAATATTTTTTTTTATTTTATATATATATATATATATATATATATATATATATAAAACAAAAAAAAATTAAAAAAATTAAAATTTTCAGGCAGACTGGGTTGTATATTAATATTCTTTCGTTTTTATTATTATCTCATTTAGATTCCTCGACTAGTTTCGGCCCAACATGGCCATCATCAGGAGAAAAAAAGTCTGCTTGCTGGTAGCAGAAATGAATGTAATTATGGAGAAAATGAACTTTTGTCTGTTGTTTTCATTTGTTTTTTTATTTTTAAGATGAATTTTGGTCAGTCCTTGTGTTGGTCAAACAGTCTCTTTTAAGTTGTTATTTGAGGTAAGAGCTGGATGGATTCATGCTACTCTGATATACATATATATATATACATATATATATATATATATATATATATATATATGTGTGTGTGTGTGTGTGTGTGTGTGTGTGTGTAAAAAATAAACATATACTTGTACCGACAGAAATAGAGCATAGATTTGAACAAAACTGACGTAATTTTCAACTTTATGGCCAACGCTTTTTCAAAGGTAAACTTTGCAGAAATACAAAACAATATTGTTTCGTAATATTACCAGCGATTACCTTTGAAAAAAGCGTTGGCCGAAATGGTCTTAAGGTTGAAATTAACTTCAATTTATTTTGTTCAAAAACATTTGTTTGTTGTTAATAGTTACTTTGTTTTCAATAAATTCATTTCGTTTCTGCTTTGAAAACGTCCACATTGGACGAAACGCGTCGGCTAATAATACAGTTTTCCTATTGTCTTTTACCTTTATACATATCTTTTTTACAGGTTAACTCTGAGAAATTTTTCACATATATATATATATATAACTTTACTATACTACTTTTTGTATAAATTGAACTGCACCACATATTTGATTTAAAAGAACTGATCCGGTGTGCAAATTTTCGTGATAACAGCTGAGACATTACTCTATTTATTGAACAATTTAGTTCATGCCACATTGATTGAAAAAACACCTACAACAAAAAATTCTCAAATTACCATATTAGTAAACAAACGCACTCTCTTAAATTTTCAAAAAAAAAAAAAAAATTCAACCCTAGAGTTGCGACTGCACACTCCAAAAGTTTGTATCCGTTAACACATTTCTAAAAAAAACATTTCGATTCGCATTTAATGTTTTCGTCTATGATGCTACCTGGATTTTACTTAAAACAAAATAATTTCCATGCCTGAGGATGACTAAATGTACAGTTGAAAGTACTAGCAGATTAAAAAAAGGCCTTATACAGCTTGTAGTTACTAAAAACAAGGATCATAACATTCATCGAGTTGTTCGTAGGTTAGTGCAACTTTAAAAATTTTGTTTGCGAAGAAGTTTTTTCGCCATTTTATATCATTAACTTTACTAATCTACTTTTTTGTATGAATGATTCATATATATATATATATATATATATATATATATATATATATATATATATATATATATATATATATTTATATATATAATTTTAGGTAATTTTAGTGTTGATTTTCGTTAGTTTTCGAACAAAATTAATATTAAAATTGTAAATTACGTCACATGAACATCTGTTAGATATTAACATTAAAAGTCTACCCCCAATGCAATCGGGTGCCCGCGTAACGTACCACTTGTGTTAAGTGGAATTGGTGTATTGAGTAAAATTCTTGTTGAGATAGTTGCGTTCACCTTCACAAGCATTCACCTACAAAATACATGATGCGGCAAAAATACTTCCCACGATTTATACTGTTAACTGTGTGATATTAATGAACTTAGGCCAATGTCAGTGATGTTTTCATCTAGCTAATATCTTACTATAATGTTTGAGGTTACGCCATGTAACTAATGTTTTACCATTATGTGTAAGGTACATCAGGGAAATATATGTGGGAGATATTTCTGCCTCATCCCGTATATATCCATCTCATCTCCCCATTCTAGGTTGGGATTAATATTAGCGTAGACTGGTCTCTATATCGGCAACCAATGTAGGAGAAAGACAATTCTAAACCTATTGGGCGTGGGCCGAGTAACATCATTCGAAAAAAAAAAAAAACTGATTACAGAAAACATGTAGCGTGGTGAGCCTGTGAACTTATACTCCATTTTGTGTCAACAGGATCAAAAATAAGAACATGGTTTTAATTTTGCTGATATTTTTCAACTCTGCTTTTGTTGTGCTTTCATTTTACCAAAATACGGGGCGTGGCAGAACTACCTCCAACATAATGGTGTTTTTTTAAAATCTAGTTTATATTTGGGGTATTTCTGGCAGGTATATGTGGAATGTATTTTTGATGCAACCTTTATTTTTTCATCGTTTTTCCAGATATCCCTGATGCCACAGCGAATGTTGACGCTGAATTATTTAAAGCAGCAATAGTTACCGGTCTTTTACCAGACAATAACTACAACTTCCGGTTGATTGCGTACAATGCACTGGGTAATGGGCCTGCAAGTCTGCAATCAGGTAAGCTATAAAATCTTTTGTGTTTGAATTTCTACGATAAGGAGTTATCATTCGACATTCCTGATCGCATCAGTTCTCAACTCGCTAGCTATGCTGATGAAACAAATAAGGAATGGCTTGTTAATTTGAACGCTTCCAAAACGTAACTGCTTCTCCATTAATCATCTCAGAGAAGCCGTCTGGCTTCCATCAGCATATCTGATGGATAACCCCCAGGGAAGTAGCTCCTTACACCTTCTCGGGCTAACGTTTTCCACTGACATGAAGAAAAAAGATTATGTTGAATCAATTGTTATCAATCTGCTGTTAGTGAAATTGCTTCATGGTGTCGTGCTAGGCAAATTTTCTCTTCAGAATCGAACTAAGTGGGTACTGCTTCTGCTATATATTTACAGATTCTTGATACAATCTAAAGAAGAATCTACAATGTTATTAGTCTTGATCTGGCATCCCGACGTCAGTCACTTTCTCACCGCCGTAATGTAGTTTCCTGTACTCTTTCTATAAATATTTTCATGGTAATTTTTATGATGACTTCTCATCTATTGTACCTAGATTTTATGAATTGAAGTGCAGTACTAGATTGGCAGTTAGGTCTCATCATTTTAAAGTTGATATGGTTAGACGTAACCGTAAGTTCTATGTTAGCAGTTTCTTCGCATGTGCTTTTTGGCTGGGGAATTCTCTTCCGGAATTAAGTTTTCCAGCCAAATTTGATCTTCAAAAATGAAATGCAATGTCAATCGTTATCTTCTCTCTTCCTGATTACTTTTTTATTGTTCTCCCTCCTTAGTAATGTTTATCTTTTCTTATTTTTTTACAGTCAGTCGCATCTTGTATCTTAGTGGCTTTATTAACTTACTTAGGATGAAATTATTATTATATATATATATATATATATATATATATATATATATATATATATATATATATATATAAAGAAATATAATTTTAAGGGGTGCTATATTTATGGGATAAAGTGGTCAATATCAGAGATAGAGTGTATGTAAAATGTAAAGTGAATATAAATATAAAAGTCAACATTGAAGTCAACACTCAGAGGCGACAGGCTGTTTTCATACTGGACGCAATCGTCAGGCGGCCTGACGATTGTCGCCTCTGAGTGTTGACTTCAATGTTCACATATATATATATATATATATATATATATATATATATATATATATATTATAAATTAATTGATTTAAAATATGTTTTTTCGCTACACAGTTCTAACCATGTTTCAAAAAATGGAAGGTCTCTCTCTCTCTCTCTCTCTCTCTCTATATATATATATATATATATATATATATATATATATATGAGTGTGAGTGTGTGTGTGCGCGTGTGTATAATCAATAAATCACAGAATTTCAAATATATTTATCTATGAGTTACTTCAGAGTTTCACCGACATGCCCCTCATCAGGGTCAGATAAAATTATTGTATTATTAAAGTATGTCATATTTATATAGTACAACATGAATAGTTAAAAAGGGGTTTTGAGAAAATGAAGCCTGTGGGTCCATCGGGGGGGGGGCTACCCTACTTCGATCACTGTGAACTGGCGCTACAGAATTACAAACAACGAACTGTACAAAATAACAGGAACCACATCACTTGAGGACTACCAATAGCGTCGGCAACTCGAACTGAAAATACTGACATAATCGAAATATTAACGTCCAACACTACTTCAAACCAAAGGTTAGAAAGGAAACTCCCATCAATACTGGAAAGAGTGATAACAGCTAGTGGACCTGAGAAAGCTATTTTTCTGAAAAATTGTTTTAAGAGAAAGATTTTATAAATTTCAGTCGGCATCAGTACTGTTTGCTTAGCCGACGAAAGCTAAATGTTTCCTTGTAAGGAAATGGCTAATATTATCATTACTATTAGGAAGGTTTAACAAATTTTTAAATTTTGCTATGTTTGTAGATGAACAGTGCTACTTATGGAAGCTTTTGTAGATATGGAGTGTGTGAATATAGAAATCAACATTGCATAATGTTTTTTTTTTTAAACCTATTCACCGTTCTCTTGACGGTCCTTGAATGGACTTTGAAGATGGAAGCCAGTCTATGAATGTTGCTATCATTACAGAAGGTCTGAATTAACTTTTCCTCTCACCATTGCTCAGTTGGGAAACAGTGGGTCTGAGACAAATCGATTTTTACCTGTTCTCTTTCTAGCTGAATACCTCCAAAGGGTTTTTCAGTGATATTTACGAAAAATGGTGTCAAGATGGCTAAACGTCTTATGATGGACAATTATGCTGTGAAACCCAGTGTATATATATATATATATATATATATATATATATATATATATATATATATATATATATATATATATATCATTGTTGGTATGTCCGTGTATTGTTTAATTTATTTTAATGTACTATGTAAGCCAAAAGCTTAGATAGGATTAAAAAAACATGCATCAATATGGTGATTTTCTTTCGTCTTTCAGTGATAATGTTATCACTGATATCAGACGATATGAAAGCAATTTACTTAAAATAAATAGACAAAACTTATCTATATTATTTAATGAAACATGCAATTATGAAAATATTCTGCCTAAATACACACAATATATATGTGTGTGTGTGTGTGTGTGCGTGCGCGCGTGTGTGTGTGTGTGTGTGTATGTGTGTGTGTGAATATTGAAACATGTGCATCATGTTAAAAAGTAATCTTAAGAGCTGACGACTGCGTTTAGGCATAGAACAGACTGCCGCCACTGGTGTTGACTTCAATGTCTACTTGTATATTTACATCTGCTCTCTACTTGATATTGAGCAGTTTAACCACTAAATATCGCATATCGTTAAACTATATTTTATATATATATATATATATATATATATATATATATATATATATACTAAAAACTATATTATATATTAGTGGATATTCGCATTTAAATCGAAGCTCCATTTATTTATTAAATAGTATATTTATTTTCGTCTACACGTTTGAAAGTTCGAAAACATTTGTTAAAGAAAAATTTGCGCTCTACGCTCGGAATCGAATCTGTGAAGAATCAGGGCGAAGGATGATTGATGTTTAGTCCGGTACCGACATGGCCACGAAGAGTAGTCGGTCTGGTGAGACCAAATTTCGTGCTTTCATGCGAAATTTCTGTTGTCACAGATCTCTCGATTTGATTCATATTTGTACAGTTTCGTATCCAAACGTAAAAAAAAAAACAGAATTGTTATCTCTCGAATATACTGTTAAATATATTAAATAAATGGAGCGTCTACTGTAATACGAATATCCACTAAAAATAAAAATAACATATAAACGGTTTAATGAAAAATCGATTCAAAATATTGTTGTTGCCTTCGTAGGGCCAGAAATAAAGACACAAAGAGAGGAATTGAGTTAAACAAATATATTAACAGAAACAGTAATACAAACATATACAAACGAGAGTGTTACAGCAAGAATGTTTGGTCCAACTGTCAGAGCTGACTGCTGGAAACTTTCCTCTACAAAAGGCAGTTCCTGCTCCTATTTATAACTGGGAGAGTCCATGCGTGCGTGGGTAAATTACCATAACAAATATAGTGATTTACTCAGCGTAGCTTAGTTGTGGCACAAGGCATGGGAGAACCCAGTGAAGATCGAATCCACCACTCAGTCGTTATTGATCTGGCGAGACAAGTTTGCTAACCGTTACAGCACGTCGAAATGCCCAACGTGGGGATTTTCTAAGTGTAGCTTAGATTTTGCACAAGACCAAAGATATGGTGCACTCAGTGAGGATCGAAATCACTACTCAATTGTAATTGTTTCAGCGAGACAAGCTTTCTCACCCTTTTACCACGCCGATGTACCCAACTCGATGATTTTTTTAAACACTGCTAACATGTGGCACAAAACTGAAAGTATGAGGCACCCGGTGAGGATCGAACTCATTACTCAGTTTGCAATAGACAGATAAGTTGTTGTTTTCTATTTTCTTTATTATTAAATAACTTTGTTGATTTCTTCCTTTTTCTTTTCAGCCAGTTACCGCACCCTTTCTTCACCACCCACAAAAGCCCCTACCGGTGTGGGTGGTGGAGGTGGAACCGTTGGCGTTTTATCTATTATTTGGCAGGTCTGTATACTCGCTAACATCTTTCTGTCTCTCTTTCTCTCCCTATAATCTCACTCTTTCTCTCCTACTCTCACTCTCTCTCTCTCCATATTTCTGTCTCTATTATTCTCTCTGTTTTTTCTCTCTCTCCTTCTCTCTATACTTTTCGCCCTCAATAATAATAATAATAATAATAATAAAAACAACAATAATAATAGTGATAACAATCTGTGATAAATATCCAGAAACGATTGATCATCTTGTATCAGGTTGCACGATATTGGCACCCACTGAATATAAAACCCGGCATGACAGAGTGGGCCAATATCTGCACTGGAAAATCTGCAACTTCTACGAGAAGGAAACTGTAAGAAAATGGTATGAACACCACCCAGACCCGGTTACGGAGATAGGACCTGTTACAATTCTATGGGACTACATAATACACACTTACAGAACAATCAAGGCCAACCGACCAGATATTGTTATTAAAGACAACAAACAAAAATGGTGCCTCCTTGATGATATGGCAGTCCCTGCTGACTGCAATGTATCTTTGAAGATATTCAAAAAGCTGTCAAAATACAAGGACCTTGAAATAGAAATCTCGAAAATGTGGCACATGGGAATATCAACTGTTGTAGTTGGAGCCCTAGGACTGGTTGGAAAAGATTGCAGTAGACTAATTGAAGGGATTCCTGGAAGTCCATGCCTCAAGGAGATAGAAAAATTGTTCTGACAAGTACAGCCCACACTTTACGAAGGGCTTTATCTATGTAATTTTTTTTTTGTCAGTGGAAAGTGTCATGATGCCATTTCTAACCTTAGGTCCCTGGGCGGGACTCGGAAAGAAATGTGTACACACCAGAAATCAAAGGGAAATAAAATGATGATAAAAATAATAAATAAGATTTGTAAAAGTCTGTCAGAAATGGTAATACGTTCCATACGCCTTGATATAGCAGCAGCAGCAGCAGCAATAATAATAATAATAATAATAATAATAATAATAAACAAAATTATTAACGCAACTCTTCCAATTTCATTCAACAATTAAGAATGCAATTTAAGAAAAGATAAAGTAAACACAAAATGTTTGACAATGTAAAAGAATATTTCAAGAGAATATCTGTCTTCATTTTATTTTTTTTAATTTTCTGGTATAAAATATATAAATCTACAAAAAATAATAATAATGTCTTTGCACGTTTGAGTTTCATGCCTTCATGCGTGTGATGTTTCATTCGCATTGATCCGTTGATAAACACTACAGCCGTTTTCATGCCTTCATGCGTGTGATGTTTCATTCGCATTGATCCGTTGATAACCACTACAGCCGTTTTTCATTACCAGACAAGCAACGTTTGTACAAAGACTTACAATCATTTTTTGTAGATTTATATATTTTTATACTTGAAAAAATTATTTAAATATAACTTAAAGAAGACAGCCATTCTGCTGAAATATTGTTTAACATTGTCAAACACTGTGTACTATCTTTTCAATATTAATAATGATATTAATAATAATAACTGTTAATAATAATGTTAATGTGCAATTGCGGACTTTTGAAGAATTCGTAATGTTTCTCTTTGAATTTATTCAAATAACGATTTCTTCAAAAGGTGCCGATTCCTATTTGACATACGCCGCCTAATGTACCAAACATAATTTGATTCATGTGGATTGCACAACTGTTAGAATAATATTACTATCAATATTACTATCACTACTACTACTACTACTACTACTATTACTAACAATAATAATAATAATACTGGATTTCGTTTGGTTTGGTTTGTTTTACGGCATATCAGCCTTAATGGGTTATTTTTCTAGCTGGTAATATTTTGTTTTCTCAAAAAATCTATTTCTGGTAATATTTTTCCTTCAAAAATCTATTGCTGGTAATAATTTTTTTTCAAAAGAGTATTGCTGGTAATATTTTTCCTCAAAAATGTACAGCTGGTAATTTTTTTAAAATTGTATTGCTAGTAATATTTATTTTTTAAAAAACAGTGTTGGTAATATTTTTTTTAAAAAAATGTATTGCTGGTAATAGTTTTTTTTTCCTCAAAAATTTATTGCTGGATTAATTTTTTTGACAAAGTATTTCTGGTATTATAACCTCTTTTTAAACTTTCATAGTGTTTTTACCCCAGTTTCGGAGTTAAATATTTGCCTATAGATGGGACCCTAACAGGTGCTACCACCCCTGGTCAGGACGGACCTGGGAACACCAGCAGTTGAGAGGTGCTTCCACGCTCCTCAAAATCTCCTGATCAGAAACCTTGCTGCTGGACGTAGTTTATCGTCTTACCCAGGACGCGGATGTAGTTTATCGTCATATCCAGGACGGAATAATACTGGAATCGTCGATAGACTTCAGATGTGCGCATAAAAAGCTTTGAAGTAAAGGTCTGTAAAAAAAAAAAAAAAAACGTAAATAATAATGATACACTTTAATTATAACAACAGAGTTGCATTAAGATGGAGACTTCGGGCGAAAAGCAATAAAATGGGGTAATACTAGTAATAACGCAATTGTAAATCTTATTTTAAAAAATTTTTAAAAAGAAAATTCCAGGATAAATTGTTATTCTATTGGAGTTGATATGCCACAGAAAGACATTGATTTATTCAACCTCATGTTGCCGTAATAAGGAGAATGAGTCCACTGCTCTATCTCGACTGTGCCGTATTCGTGACACGTAAACTTAATTACTCGATTCATAACCACATTAACTTGGCGTCTGTTTCCTTTTATTTCAAACAATTGCTTTCAAATGTAATAACCGACATACAAATCAGTTTTCCATTGAAATTCTCTTAATGCTATTAAAAACGCTTTTGAAATGAAACAGACACTCATCACAATAGCAGTGGCAGTGTTACTATCTCTGCGCATGCGTGTGCGCATGCGTGTGCGCATGCGTGCCTCTAGGTTAATTTGTGAGCATATATCTGTGCATGTATTTGTGTGTATATGTGAGCCAGTTTGCGCATATATCTGAGTAGTGTATTTGAATTTATGTGTATGGATATGCCTGCAGTGTAGCGGTTATCGGCTGTTAAGTGAGAACCGCGTACCAGTCCTGAATTACCGCGAAGGTTGTTGCGTTTGCTTTCGCATTAATACACCTGGGAAAGGTAAGAATCTGTCATTTCTCCCCGCATCAAGGTGTTAAATATCAGGTAAGACTGGAGCTCTTTAGCTGTGGTTGGCAACAAGTATAATAGAAAGAGAACTCTGGAATTCAATACCGTACAGTCTCTACACAGATGAAGAAGAGACTTGAAGCAACAGAAATGTTGTTCTACAGAAGGATGCTGAGAATACTATGTCCCAAACATGTGAGCAATGACGAATCTTTAGAAAAAATGGAAACAAAAAGATGCTTATACTTAACATCAGAAAGAGACAGTTGAAATTTCTAAGGCACTTGATGAGGAAAGAGGGCTTGGAAAATTTGATACTCACAAGACAGATTGAAGGCAAGAGGATCAGAGAAAAACAATGCATAACCTGAGTGGAAATAAAAAGAAAACATACCTAACACGAGGAAGAAACTACTGTAATTTCCCGGGCAGATAATGAGAAAAGCAGGCTTGGAAAATTTGATACCCACAAAACAGATGGATGGCAAGAGGGACAGAGGAAAACAATGTATACCCGGCCTAAAGAGCTTGTGTAAAGGGACATGGAGAGAGGTTTTAAGGGAGATAGCAAAAAGATAATATTTATTAAAAGTTACCAAGGAAATTGTGGAGAGCCATGATCACCAATGTCCTGAAGAGATATGAGGCATAAAAGAAGATTTGACCTTGGAGAGGAGAGCACATACTTGAAATGTAACTATGATCCATTTAGCAATATAATGTAGAAAGTGGGCTTGGAAAATTTGATACTCACAAGACAGATTGATTTCTTTAAAGAATCTTTTTAGAAGAGGGATTCGGTTCATATTATAAATGTAGTGTCATATCTATTAATTTCTTAAAACGCAATCCGTAATTTGTTTTTCTTCACTAATGACAAATTTGAAATTTTCCTTAAGTTTGAATTGGGAAAAAGGACATCACTAGTAGATTTGACATTTCATTTATATTATGAACAGCTTCCCGTTTCTAAAAAATCAATTTTCCGAACCGGATAAAGGTAGAGGAAGGTCTATAGAATGGTAATTTACAAATGAAAATCTAATGAATGTTAATTTACAAAACAAGTCCTAATGAGAGGTAATGTACAAAAAAGTTCTGATAAATATTAATTTACAAATGGTTTAATGAATGGTAATTTACAAATGAAGTTCTAATGAATGTTAATATACAAATGAATTTCTAATGAATGCTAATATACAAATGAATTTCAAATGAATACTAATTTATAATTGATGGTTTAATGAAAGATAATTTAAAAATGCAGCTCAAATTAATACTAATCTACAAAAGAAGTTATAATGAATGCTAATTTACAAATGAAGTTCTAATGAGTGCTAACTTATAAAAGGAGTTCCAATGAATGCTAAATATAATGAATGCTAAATATAATGAATGCTTATTTACGAATGAAATTCTCATGAGTGCTAATCTACCAAAGAATTTCCAATGAATGCTAAATATAATAAATGCTAATTTACAAATAAATTTCTACTGAATGCTAATTTACAAATGAATTTCTAATGAATGCTAATTTACAAATGAAGCTCTGAGGAATGTTAATTTACAAATGAAGTTCTAATCAAAACACAAATCACATTTGGCCAAAAGAAAATTTATAGACTATAATGTCAATCTTATAGATTGGTCAAGCCAAAGTCCAGACCAACAACGTCATTCAATTGCAAAAAGAAAGAAAGAAATAAAGTAAAGGACTTGGAGACCTTAGCAAAAGAAAAGCAAACAAGAATCCCCATGGAGACTTGTCAGAATCTGGTGACGAGGCACGAGAAAATTTTCTGGAAGACAATATCTTTATCCACGACATCTGTCAGAATCGAAACATATTGGTTTTTATCATTTTAGAAATGAGTTTCTATTCATATTATAAGTGCAATGTCAAATCGATTCCTGGCATTTTAAAAGAGTTGACTGGACTTTCTTTTTTACTAATTGGTTGAGACTGTTTTTACGTCATTAATAAATGCTTACGACTGATGTTGTCCTTTTTCTCAATTCCAAGTAGAAATGTATTTATTTATGAACAGAGCTCCACTATCAAATGATCAAAAAGCAATGTTTTCGATTCTGACTAGTGTCGTAGATAGTGGAAAGTCTAATGAGTGCTAATCTTAAAATTGTTAAAAGATTTTCCTTTATTTGTAACAAGTGAACTAATAAATTTAAATAGTTTTAGAACATTATAAAAAAAGAAGCACATGACTAATGTAATTGTAAAATTATTTAACTTTACCCGTCTTCATTTAACTTTGCTTGAATATTTGTAAAAAAATTTAAGAACGAATTCTCCCTTAAATGCAACAATACAGTTAACTGTATTAATAAAAATCCTAAATTATGCATAGAGAAAAAAGCAAAGCAACTGTAAAATTACTTAAATGATGCTGTCATATTTTCATGGTACGGGTCGTGTAGGTTTTCCTTGGAGATTTTTATTTTTAATAACTTAAATAGGATATTATTTTTTCAATGCGATAATATTATGAATTGTCTAAATGAAAGCACGAGATAATTCATCTGGAAATCATAATTCAATTTGAACATTAATTAAATTCACCTGTCATTTTTTTCATGATGGTACGACATTTGTTACCTTTGAATAATTTTACTTTACAAAGCAGAATTTTTTTTTTTTTACATGCGATAATAGAGTTAATTTTATTAAGATCCTACATTACACTTGCAGAAAATGTATTCACTTCGATGGCTAAATTACTTCATTATTTACACTACATTGTACGGACTGATCTCATCATTTTTATTGGCATATACATGACGTTTCGAGCATTGCAAGTTGCGGACTTCTTCAAATGATATTTCTTGGATTTTTAAACCGAACCTTTTATTTGGTCCACGCGGGTATATTGTACTTAATTATTTTTGCTATTTTTTAGGGAATGGGTTATATATATATATATATATATATATATATATATATATATATATATATATATATATATATATATTTTTTGCTTTTTTTTTTGCTGACGAGGGGAGCTGATAACAATGCGCTTACAGTTATATTTGCGGCCTAGACTGTCTCAATTTTTCTATAATTTTTTTACTCATACAATATGATTTTTTTTAAACATTTTTTTTGTTTATTTTACGCATTTTCAGTACACCATCTATTGTTTTAAGTTCATGTTTCAGAGTGTCCACATTTTTCGGTCGAAGTACTGTTTTTTATCCCCGAGATTCCATTTTCTTTCGTCTTCACCCTATGGCCTTGTTGTAAGCTAAAAAAAAGCTTACTGAACTAGAAATAACCAAAACGGAAGTCGGAAATGAAATGGTAATCTTTATAACATCAACAAAATACAATACTCGCCAGCGGCGTGAAGTAGGTAAACCACTGCAAGTGGTTTACCTACTTAGACAGCAGATTACCCCCAATTACAACATTTTTTAAACGTAATTATGAGGATTGGATAATAGCCATTAGTGTTCATAGATACAGTTTATAACAGGTCCGCTGATACAGTCACATCTAATATCTTTTTTTAATTTACTATTAACAGAACATATGTTGTTTGTACAGAAGGATTCCCAGATCATGCCATTTATTTTGCTTTCTACAATAGTTCCTTGTTTGCACTTGTCTCCAAATCATTTGTACAGTTCCCAGCGTATAATTCTCCCTACTGTGACATATAATTTTTGTTTTTTGTTTCCCTTTTAGCACGGTCTGGGTATGACGATAAACTACATCCGGCAGCAAGGCCTCTGAGCAGGAGGTTTTGAGGAACCATCTTTTAATTTCTGGTGTTCCTCGATCCACTCTGTCCACGGGTGGTAGTACCTGTTGGAGTCCCAGATTTAAGCAAATAGTTAACCCCTAAACTAATGTCAAAACACTATGAAAGTTTCAAAATAGGTTTTAATACCAGCAATACAATTTTGAAAAAGAAAAATATTGCCAGTAATACATTTTGTAAAAAAATATTACCAGTAATACCTTTTTGGGAAAAAAATATTACCAGCAATACATTTTTGAAAAAAATAAATATTACCAGCAATACATTTAAAAAATGAAATATTACCTCCAATACATTTTTGAAAAAGAAATATTACCAGCAATACAAAATCTTGTCAGAATTAAATAAACCATTGAGTTTTATATGCCGCAAAAGGTATATATCTGTTAGGGTATATTGAGTTAAATTCTTTGTATGCTAAATTGAAATTCTTTGTGTGAAATTATCAAAGCTTGCAGAAGTAAATGGCAATTCTGGAGGTGAAAGTAATCGTACATAAATCCATTAATCTATTCTAAAATAAAGCTGAATTAAGAACAGGCATGATAGATGTTCTACCAAAGAAGCCATCCAAAAATAACCATTATTCTTCATCCATTTCAGCCTCTCCATCCAAGCGAACATGGAGGCCGCGGAATTGGATACATTGTTTATTGGAGGAAAAAATCTGATTCTGATGTTAGATGGTTCAAGGTAAGAATGTTAAATCTCATTTCATTAAAGATTTCTAAAAAAAAAAAAAAAAAGAACAAGTTCTTTTCAAACATTTATCTTGAATACAGAATTTCATTGTGGTTCACGGGGTTGAATGAGGGCCGAGTATATAATCAGAAAGCCTATTTATGTATGCATATGAGCGGGTAGCTTTAAATACGAAATCGTATTAAAATACGCGTCTAGGCAGGAGCAACAGGATCGAGGAAATTGTTCGAAAATAATTGTTCGGAAAACATTTAATTAAAATACCTGTTTGAAATACGTATGTGCTTCTATGTGGAGGACCTAAAGACTTGTTACCTATCTTCACTCAGTTAATTAAGTAACTCATCGGCCCGTTTTTTGTTTTTTTTTTATTAGAGAGATTGATTTGATCAATAAATGGTACCCTGGTAAGTACAAGAGATTAAAATCATCTCTTACGTCAGTGAAAACGAAAAAGTCCGTAGATTTTAGCTGACTACTAATTCTTCTCTATTGTCAGCGATTATGTGAATCTTGTTCGAAGACAATTATTCGAATTGTAAATTGTTTGAATGAAAATTAATCGAAAGGACAATTATACTCAATGATAATTATTCGAAATACCCATATTTGAAATACGTATAAATATTTACCCGAAAAGAAGATCTAATTTACTTCATAGAATGTGATCAAAATCACAGCATTTATATCTGTGTGCCTTCTATGTAGAGGACTTAAAGATTTTTGCCTATCTTCTCCCATTTAATTAAGCAGCCCATCGATCAGGGTTTTTTTTTATTGTTCAGTTGACCAATAAACGCTCCCCTGATAAGTACCAGAGCTTAGTCATCTCTTGAATCTATAGTCATTGAAAGTGAAAAAGTTCGGAGATTTTTCGCTGATTACACATGTTTCTTAATCGTCACTGATTATGTGAAAAAATAGACCATGTCTTCTCATTTCGAGAACACCAAGCAAATTCCAGGTAGAAGCATTGTCATTGTTGAAAATTTGTCAGGTTAGAGATCAACATTTTTTTTTTCTAAACAGATTTTCGTAAACATTTCAGCATTTTTAAATACACATTTACGTCTATTTGTGTTTTAGATGCCTACTTATCATGTCATCGTGTACACCTTTTCGCAGGGGGGGGTTACAGAGAGTGAAAGTGAGAGAAAAGACTGGGTAGAGTGGGGGGACCAAGGAAAGAATAAACGCTGACGAGTTTCAAGAAGATAGAAAATGGCGATTTACGTTGCATTTAGATTTTTGAAGATTTTAGTTATCAGGGAAGCAAGTAAGAGAAAAAGAATTCCACTGTCGGAAGTGTGAGAAAAGAAACTGTTTGAGTAGAAGAGGCGGTTATATTTACATAATTCATCAGTAAAGTGTGGGACCTAGATGCCAATCTAGTAGCACACTTAAATTCGTATAGTCGGAGAACCAGGTAAAAAACTCGTCACAGCGGCTATCATGAAACTATTTATGGAAAGGATAGAAGGAAGCCACAGCACAACGATGAGAAAGTGACTGAAGTCAAGATGCCAAGTCAGGATTTATTATATTGCAGAACCTTCTTTAGATTTTGTCAAGAGCCTCGAGGTGAGTAGCAGCGGTATGGCAACAGTATCCAATGCACAGACAAATGGTAGATTCGTATATGTGCAAGACGGACTCTGAAGAGAAAAAAACTTCTGGCACCACACAGTGACCCAACTTTCCTTGCAGTAGATGCAGCTATTGATTCCATGTAGATAGCAGTTTCCAATTTAGAAATAATGCCCGAGACCTGTGACGGGGTTATGCGCATATCACCCAGTAGAGACTCTGTTCTAGTGGGTGAAATCAGGTGTGAATACTCCAATTCAGTCGAGTGTTGAATTGGAAGAGAATTTTCGAGCAAAGCATTGAACCTTATGTCCTGTAGATGTCAGGACTTCGAATTGAGTGAATAGAAGTGTATTGAGTAGAACCGAACTTGCGAAAGTTATTTCATTTTATCAGCAAATAGTAACTTCTCTTCCTTGAGGACACGCTTGCACGCGTTACAAGCAGAGACAAAGAGACCGTCTGTTTCAATCAGGCCTGTCGCTCTGATACAGGCGGAAGAAGTGATTCTTGTGGGCTATAGCGGCCGCGCATGTAAGTGAGAATCAAAGAGATGAATGCGGTTTAACTTGGTATTTTATTGCTGGAATGAAAGTATTGATATCGGCTGTCACTCAGGGGGAGACCTCAGACGCGCATTTATGAACAGGATGATCAAAAACTGCATTCCAAGAGACGTCACGAAGGAAATCATGGAACGAATGTCAATCCGCACGTTGATAATAGAAATATATTCTGCTTGTAGGAGGTTCTTCGCTGGTAGGGGGGCGGAAAAGGATGTTTATAGATATTACCGCATGATCAGAGTTGGCAACAGGGTAGAACTGATAAAGTCCCTCAGAGGACGAAACGCGTCGGATAAGAGAAGTTTTCTCTTTGTCTTTATTTATATTGTTCTTTTGCAGATATTTTTAGTTACATCTGAATTTTTACACATACACACACACATATATTCTCATTTGAAATATGTAAATACAACTCTAGCACGTTCCAAAATTATGTAACCGTTAATAAATCACACTCTTAAAAAACATTTTAGGTCTGAAATACTTTTATTTTCATCTGGGAAGTTACCTGAAATTAAAAAAAATATTAACGCCTGATGATGATAATATGATGATTATCGAAAGTACTAGCAGAGACAGAACATCTAACCCATCTTACAATTATAAACATAAGGATCGTGTCTTTCAACGAGTGGTTAGTAAGTTAATGCTTTATTAAATCTGTTAGCGAAGTGATTTCACCATTACTTACATTAACTTTACTGATTAATTATTTGGATGATTACTACTTTATAATATTATTTATACTGCACCATTTATATATATATATATATATATGTGTGTGTGTGTGTGTGTGTGTGTGTGTGTGTGTGTGTGTGTGTAAAAATTCAGATGTAACTAAAAATATCTGCAAAAGAACAATATAAATAAAGACAAAGAGAAAACTTCTCTTATCCGACGCGTTTCGTCCTCTGAGGGACTTTATCAGTTCTACCCTGTTGCCAACTCTAATCATGCGGTAATATCTATAAACATCCTTATAAAGTAATGTGGCAAATCGACGAATATTTTGTTGTAAGTGTTTTTTAGTTAACGTGACATGGACGAAATGGTCCAATCATTAGAATAATGTCTTAGCAGTTTTTCTAGAATTTTATTTTTCACTGTGGATCTGTCCTTATACATATATTAAATGGTGCAGTATATATCATTTTAAACATAAGCAACGCGTCATTCAACGAGTGCTTAGTAAGTTAATGCTTTATCAAATATGTTAGCGAAGTAATTTCACCATTAATTACATTAACATTACTGATTAATTCTTTGTATGATTACTTCTTTATAATATATATAATGTAGATAAAGGTTAATCCTAGACTTGACCAGATTAAGATGATAATGATCGGGGAATCATCCTCTTGGGAGTCGGTTCCACAAAGCAGCGGTTTGGCGCCATCAGATCTTATCTTTCGTAATAAAAAAAATTCCTAATACATTTCTATGTATGTTTTTTCATAAACTGACCAACAAGCATTGGATCAGTGCGGTAGGGTTATGACTCATTTCCCACTATGATCTGAGGAAGACCTTCGTTCAAAAATGGACGACCATTGGCTGAGAAGAACTTCAGAAATATTAAGAATTGTTTATTATCGTAATATTTAAAATTATTGTATTTTTTTTTTAAATCTAGTTTTCCGCAATTTTTTACACTATTTACCTTATTCGGACAATTGTCCTCATCTTTATCGCCATGTTTATCACAACGTTTCTGCCGTTGTACGCTCCGGCCTTCTTCAGGTGGTTTGAATGTCGAACTGAACCCTTTATTTCGCTCACTGGGATAAACTGTTCTAGTTCCACGTGCCATGTCTAATGGATGCCAGTTAATTTCCCTCTTCAAGTTCTCCACTGCCTTAACCAGGTATTGAACACACACTCTTTGGGTCCTGTCACTGGATCTAACTAACGCTTTTATCCACTGTGCCATGTGTCATATAGACAGATACTGAAAGATTTTTTTTTAAATTTTTTGCTAATGTTCACCCAATACAAGGCCCAAGGGCCCCTCAAGGCAAAGGGTTGCTGTGTGGAGATGTATTAGTGTTAGAAAGGGCAAAAAGTAAAATTTTTGGCACTATACAGGATAATTGGTGAATGAAATTATAGTTGGAAGTATCGAGTAAAGATAATCTTTGGAAGGAACTGGAAATCCAATCCTAAATAGGAAACAAAGGATAAATCTCTACTCTTGCTGAAAAGAATGAGGAGGTGTGTGAACCGGACGATAGGCAACCCCCTATCTACGGGCAGCAGAAAAATTGTTCAATTGTTAGATTAAGCTTTGAAAGGTTGTATCTTAGAATTGATTAAAGATATCTCACTGGAATTCTCCGAGGTTTTCATGAAACTATTGTACTCTACTTTGAATAATAAGAATATATTTAGATCGAAGTTGAAATGATGATCTCTTTTATTGTTGTGACCTCCTGATCCTGTTTTTCTTTTCTACCCTTCCCTCTTTTTTTTAAAACTTATTCATTCTCCATTCTTTTGATGCTTCTTGAATGGACTTTGAAGATGAAAGCCAGAGTATGAATGTTGGTATCCATTACTGAAGGCCTGAATGATCTTTATCCTCTCATCATTGGGAAGACATACTGGGGATGACACAAGATGATTTTAACCTGTTCTTTTTCTAGCTGAATAACTCAAAGGGTTTCTCCGTGGTTCTTTCAACAAATGGTGTCAAGATGGCTAAACGTCTTATCTGAAAACCAGGAAAAAAGAAACTCAATTACTTTAGTATTTTTTTTTTAGATATTAACCATTTTATGGAATGCTGTAACACGATTTGGACATTAATTCTGTTACACAGTATATTTATTAACTCTGTATATAGTCTATACACAAACTACAGTATTTGACGGCATATAAGATGGACGAGTGTATAAGACGCACCCCAACTTCAGCAGGGCAAATCAAGAAATAATCAGTAAGTAGTAAAATTAGTAAACCTACATGTGGCATATAAGCCGGAGGTGAATTTTAAAAGATATCTTTAGCAAATAAAAGTACGCTTTATATGCCGTTAACTACAGCAGTTGCCATTTCATCATCGCCGATTGAACCATGAACTAACATCAATCACGATGAATGGATGTTTCCTCAGGGCGGCTCCGCGCCTTGAGCGTCTATCGGGCCTCAAAACTCAAGCCAAACGTTAAGTGGAAATTGTATATAAAATCCATCGGTAAAGATGTAGGGAAAATGGTCTGTTCCCTGTACAGCTTCTCGTGTTATCCTCTACCTTTACAAATGTGGTACTGCTGTCACATTTAGGCAGGAGTTATCCAGTCCTCATTTTACAGTCCCGGGAAAGTTCAAAAGCGTCTCCGCGTCCTTGTGGGCGATGAATTATTTTCCACCATGCAACCTTTCTCACACAGACGACATTTAGCAATCTCCTCCCTAATCTACCGCTACTTCCGTAGAAAGTGCTCAGACCAACTACATTCCAAATTCACGGCTAGGATTGAACCACCCTTATTCCCATCGTATTTCATGTGTGACATAAATCCCACTCAAACAGCTTCTTCACTCGAACCCGCCTTGTCGGCTGCGGCTGTAGAATACGCCGACTGCACCCCTACAGAGGGGTAAGACCCCCACCCCGCCAATGGAGCGTCCTGGGTAAGACGATAAACTACATCCAACAGTAAGACCTCTGATCAGGAGCTTTTGAGGAGTGTGGAACGCACCTCTTAATTGCTGGTGTTCCCAGGTCCACCCTGACCCGAGGTGGTAGCACTTGTTAGGGTCCCAGCTATGGGCAAATAGTTAACCTCCAAACTGGTGTCAAATAATTATGAAAATGTAAAAACAGATTTTACTACCACCAATATATTTTTGTAAAAAAATAATTACCAGCAATTAATTTTTGAAGAAAAATTATTACTAGCAATATATTATTACCAGCAATAAATTTTTGAAAAGAAAAAAATACCAGCAATACATTTTTGAACAAAAATATTACCAGCAATAAAAATCTTGTCGGTATTAAATAACCCATTGAGGTGTTGATATACCGTAAAACAAAAGAAATAAACTTCCCCCGAACCACTACTCTACTACTCAAGAGAATATTTTCCTGATCACTACAATCCTAACCTGTTCAAGTCTAGGGTTAACCGTTATTTTTCCAACCTATCCTATCCGCAAAAAATCCTATTTACTCAGTAGCACTCTATCTCAAGGGGCTCCCGTGCCCTGTGCAGGATAATACCTACTGTAAAAAATACAATTCTTTAGTAAGCCCAAAAGAAATCAAAACAAAGACTATAGTCTCTACTTTCATTACTTATAAGTAGATTTCATTGCGCACAAATTCCCACGACAGCGGGATTTGACAGGAGGTCTTTTTTAATGCGGGGTGACAATAAGCGTATATATGTGCTACTTTTCGAAACAAATAATCTGAATGTCACGTCGAAACACCGTACGATCACTGAAGTTAAGCAACGCCGAGCCTGGTCAGTACTTTAAACGCTTAGGAATACCAGTTGCTGTAAGCTTAGATTTTCGCGTAGTGTGGCTTACGGCCGTATAATATTGAAACACCGGTTCTTGTACGATAACCGAAGTTAAGCAACGTCGAGCCTGGTCAGTACCTTAATGAGTAAACACTTGGGAATACCAGATGCTGTAAGCTTAGATGCGCGGTTGGTGTGGCTTGCGGCTGTATAATGTTGAAACACCGGTTCTCGTAGGATAACCGAAGTTAAGCAATGCCAAGCCTGGTCAGTACCTAGACGAGTAAACACTTGTGAATATCAGGTGCTGTACTCTTGGATGTGCGAGTGGTATATAGCTTAAGATCATATCACGCTGAGACACCGTAGGATCGCAGAAGTTAAGCAACGCTGAGCCTGTCCAGTACCAAAACGAGTTGCCACTTTGGAATACCATGTGCTGTAAGCCTGGATATGCGTCTGGTGTAATGAATAACGGCTCGGAATCGGAAATCGGAGAGCAGAGTTCCATTTCCAGTGGTATTCGATACATTCATTTACACGCAATTACCTTTGGTAAAAGCATGAATCAACCTCTCCACCGCCCAACTTTGGATTAATTAGTAAGACTTGTATCAGTAAATAATTATTAACGTTCCAAAAGTCTTACAATCTGAAAATATATTCTGGATTCAAAATAATCTTCAAAGTGTTGATAAAGTAATCTTCAAATCGTTGATAAGGCCGCCCCCTTAATGTAAGGCTTCAAGAACACCAGAAAGCTGTAACACAAGGAGAAGTGCAAAAATCAGGCCTGGCTGACCACATATGGAGAGAAAAGGGAAATCACCGACCTCTGTGGGATCAGGTTGAGATCATAGACAAAGAACACCATTGGAAAATTCGTAAACTTAAGAAATCAGCACATATGCTAGGCCACCAAAAGTTCTTGAGCCGACCACGCATAGAAATGAATACAATATTGGATATATAAGGAGTGCCAGAGAAAAGAGATAATAACAACAAAAATTGCAATATGAGCATTGGTAAAAACATGAAATGATAACAGCAAAAATTGCAATATGAGCACTGGTGAAAATGGTTGCTGAAGACATTAGGTTTATAATACCCAGAAATTCATACACAGATGTCCTCAACGGCACAGTGGATAAAGGCATTGGTTAGATCCAGTGACAGGACCCAAACAGTGTGAGTTCAATACCCGGTTGAGGCAGTGGAGAACTTGGAGAGGGGAATTAACAGGAGATAACTGATAACTGACATCTATGAAACATGGCACGTGGAACTAGAAAAGTCTACCCCAGTGAGAAATAAAGCGTTCAGTTCGACATTCTAAACACCTGAAGAAGACCGGAGCGTACAACGACCGGAATGACGACAAAGATGAGGACAATAGTTCGAATAATGTAAATAGTGTACATAATACTTCATATCAGAAATATAGACAGATACTGGTTGATAAACCGTAAAAAGTAAATCAGTCACCTATTCGCTTTGCTGTTTAAATTTCTCTGAAATTCTCAGATTGAGTAATATTATGATGCCGGGTTTGATTTAAAGTATGACCCCGCTTTCTTCTTTCATTTCGAGGGTTATTTTGCTTAAATAAATAGTTATGCAATTATTTCTCTTAAACCCCGAAGCATATCCCACAACTAACGTTATTCAATGAAAAGACCATTTTTAGAAAAAAAGAAGCTGAATGCCAATTATCGTTGAATGAGCAAAAACGATTTAGGGTTGCCGAATAATTCCTTTCTTATCTCAGTCTTAACATCTAGGTTGATATATTCAGTCAAAAAGAGATCTTGCGCGGGATGGGTAAGGAAAGAAAGGATGAGAGTCTGCTTGTAGATAGCGAGGTGCTCGCCATGTATCTGTCTGTCTGAGTGCCACTTCCCTCCCCAACGACCGTCTGTTGACCTAGATCAACTTGTCCCCCTGTTTTTTTCTTTTTTGTTTTTTTTTTACCAAAAAAAGAACTAGTCCGATCTTATTTCTGAATAAATTTCTTTGCTTGTAAAAGTTTCACCGGATTCAGAAAAGCGTATCGAGCACGTGTTTCAGATAAATACCATATGTCAATGACGTGCTGAGTGAAGATTATATTATAGTAGACTTTATTGTTTGTACTTTTCAGATGAAGTTTACTTTGACGCCATGATTTATTACAACCAGCATCTTTAACTCGGTTTTTTTATATATAATGTTACGACTGGTGCTCTCCCCAGGTTTCCGATTTGTCTAAAGTCCTAAAAGTAATTATTACAATAATCCCAACAAATACACAAATTTCTGTCTTCATCTTTATTGTTTCCACCACATTTTGGCTGATACATTCACCGGGCTTCCAAGTATTCTGGGAAAATGATTCCATAAATTATTCGGGTTAGTATCTTCGTCTTTGATGTTCCTATCAAATTTCAGCCGGATCACATGCAAATGTTTCCATAAGTTATTTAGTGTAATATATTTTTTGTTGTTTCTATTACGTTTCTTCTAGGGACTGATGCACTCTCCGGGCTTCCCATTATTATCTAACATGGAGTTGATTCCATAAATTATTTGATTTGGTATATTAATATTTGTTGTTTCTATCATATTTTGACTGATGCATTCTACGGGCTTCCCAGTATTGTCTGACATGGAGTTGATTTTATAAATTATTCGGTTTAGTATCTTCATCTTTGTTGTTTCCACCACATTTCGGCTGATGCATTCAACGTGCTACCCAGTATTTTCTGACTCGGAGAAATTTTCGTAAATTCTTCAATGTATTTTCTTCATCGTTGTTTTTTTTCTATCACATCATTTCCTCTTTTAATATTGCTAAATTGATGGAGTTGCAGAAAATGTTCCGATGTAAGATAAACATTTGCTTTCAGTTAAAAAAAAAATGAGACTTCAGTTAATTTTAAACATTCTATTGAAATTGTCTGAAGAAAGAACGAATTACCAAAATGTGAACTGAGTAAAACACGTGAAACCATTTCATAAAGTGTAAAATCCCGATTGTCGGTGAATTTATTCAGTAAGTTTAGAAATCTTGTTCCTCGTGAAACAAAACAGAGAAGAAATTTCGAAAAGAATCTAGAAAGTTCTTAGCTACATATTAAAACATTATAGATACGGAACTTACGATTTACTGTGAAGATGAACCGCTTAAAAATACAAAAAAATCCCAAAAAACAAATATATAGCAAGTTACTTCTGATAAGAAAATTTCTTATGCGGTTTTTCAGAAAATGCAACATCTGAAGACGGAATAAAACCGCATTTTTAAGCCGTTCTTATTCTGTTGTCCTCATCTTTATTTCAATATTCACGACGTTTCAGTCGTTGTACGATCCGGCCTTCTTCAGGATCTGTCTATATTTCTGAGATGGGGTATTGTAATTATTTTCAATATTTATTTGTTCGGATTGTTGTCCTCGTCTTCGTTGCCATATTCACGGCATTTTGGCCTTTGTACGCTCCGGCCTTCTTCAGGCGATTGGAATTTCTAACTGAACCCTTTATTTCGTCCACTGGGGTAGATTGCTCTAGTTTAACTTGCCGTGTCTCTTCCGGATTTTTCCCATGGTGCAGTGGATAAAAACGTTGGTTAAATCCAGTGACTTGACCCAAAGAGTTGTGAGTTCAATCCGTAGCTAGAGCTAAGGTGAATAAAAACTTGGAGCATTGAGTTAAAGGGAGATTACTGATACTGTGACATCCGGAACTAAAACAATCTGGACAAAATAAAGGGTTCATTTCGAAATTCCAGTCATCTTAAGAAGGCCGGAGCGCAAACGTCTGAAAAGTCGTGAACATATTTAGTAGAATATTAATGGAAACATATACATGATGGCCTGGACGTGCGGATAGTGTGATAGTTCTCGGCAACCGAAAATGCACTCGGCGAGCCGAGTTCGAATTCCAGTCAGTTCTATCAAGTTCACTTCGCACTAAATTCACTTATAAAAGGTATGAATCTATTTCCCTCCAGATATGGGTTAAATACCAGGGCTGACTGTGCACTTTTCTCTGAGTTGGTTGTGTCTATGCCCCGAGTTCGAGGATGATGATTTTATTCTGTTTACCTGAGTCAGTTTGGTTTATAGACCCGGAGATGGCTAATGAGACCGATTTTTGATTTAAATGTTCTTCAAGATTGGGGAAAAATTGTTCCGGATGCTGGATTAGACATTGGCTGCTGTCTTTCTTTTCGACGTATTTTTTCCATTCGTTTGGATTCGAGGATTGTTGTTCTGTCTCTGACAAAGGATCTCCAGAGACCACCCCGTGGAGCAATAGATATAGTCTTCACATTGCGCCAACTACAAGAGACATGTCGCGAACAGCTTCAATTCTTGTACATGGCATTCGTTGACCTTACCAAAGCATTTGACTCCGTCTTTTACGGTACTTTCCTTCCATATATGATAGTCTACCAAAATACATCCATATCCTGAAGCTCCTTCATGGTGACATGCGCAGCATAGTCCTCACCAACAATGACCAATGTGAACCGTTCCAAATCAGATCTGGAATGAAACAAGCATATGTCATTGCTCTAACTTTCTTCACCATCTTCATTGCAACAGTGATTTGACATCATAAAAGATGATCTGCCTCCAAGAATGGAGATAAAGACATCATGCACTGTTTTCCAAGGTACCCTGTTGATGTGTCCCTAAAAAACTACCAACACTTGATGAAGTCTGGGAAGCCATCAAAGCTATGCAGAAAGGTAAAGTCTGTAAACTAGATAGAATTCCAGCAGAATTCTACAAATATGGAAGCAATCTTATTCAACACCAACTATATCAACTTATCTTGAAAATCTGGACAAATGAAGCCGTCCCCAAAACATTTCAAAAACTCAGTAATAATTACTATTTATAAAAAGAAGACCGATCTATCAGTGGAAATTAATAAGGAATCTCTCTACTCTTAACAGCTGGAAAAATATTTACTAATACCATAAATAAGCAACTCAAACCACGAGCTGAGAGGATCCTTCAAGAAACACAAGCCGGTTACAGACCATCCTGTGGAGAAATAGAGATGATTTTCACATTGCGCCAACTACAAGAGGAATGTCACAAACATCTTCTACCCTTCTACATAGCATTCACTGAATTTAACCAAGCATCTATCTCTGTGTCAAGAGAGCTATTATGGCATATTTTCCCCATATATGGTGGAGCAACAAAATATATCCATATCTTGATCCTAGCCAACAATAATCTATGTGAACCATTCCAAGTCAGATGTGGAATGAAACAAGGATGTGTCATTGCTTTTAGGTTGTACAATGTAAGAGAAACA